GAGATTTTACAGTTTTTTTTCCGGCTATTTTATCAGCCAAAATTAACAAATAAACCAAAAAGAAAGAAAAGGATAAAGGAAATAAACACATTTTTGCGCACTATTTTTATAAAATTACAAGAACAAAAAACTTCAGTTTTTTCCTCCCTTTAACTTTCCAACAAATTTAATTATTCTGCTCACCATTTTTTTTTTTTTTTGCCCCTTCAACAAAGTCGTTAAATATTTACAACAGCAATAATTTGTATTTTTACATATAAAAATAAATGGTTAGTCGATAAACCAAATAAAATGATACAACTTTAACAGAAAAAAAACAAACATTTAGTTTTTTTTTTTCATCTTTATTGTCAAAAAAAATTCTTTTTTTTCCCCTTACTAAACTGGAAATAATTGGACCTTAAGATGTTTGGTATCGGAAAAAAAACTGAAAAAAAAAAGTAGCTCAGAAAAAAAAAAAAAAACAAGGATAAAATTTTAAATTCTTTTTAATGAGTTATCGCATTGACAACAACGACACTGTCACACAGTATCTGAACGGTATCGGCGATAAAACTGTATTTGTGGGAAGATTAAAACAAAAAAACGGCAGCAGTGCCACCAAATCTTTCAAAAAAAAAAAAAAAAAAGTAATTTTTTTGCCGCTTAACTATTAAAATAAACTTATTAATTTTAACAGAAAAAATTTAAACCTCTATCAATGTTCAACAAACAAGAAATATTTTCACACCTCTCTATTCTTTTGCTTTTTTTTTTCGTTTTTTTCACTTTTCATCAAAACCAATTTCCTTTCTCCCTCTCTCCCAATTCCCCATTATTCATTTTCATCCTTCAAATTATCATCATTTATTTCATCCCCATCAGCATCACCGACACAGCCACCACTGCCATCACCAACATCACCATCACCGGTATTCAACACTTAGTGAAAAGCAAAAAAAAAAAAAAAAGCCACTTAGAAGTGGAAGAAAAAAATAGGTAACACAAAATGAACAAACAAATATAATTCAAAAAAAAAAAAAAAGGTAAAGTTGTTGTTTTTCTAGATCCTAAAAAATCTTTTTTTTTTCTCCCCAAACTTATAATGCCATTAAAAATCCTACGCAAATTTGTTGTTGGAAATAAATTTACAAAAAAGAAAAAAAAAATGATCAAACAGATCAATCACAATAACAGGCCGACAACTCAACAAAATTGTTGTTCTTCTGAACTGTGAACCCGTTTGAAGTCTTCACATCTTGTGATGTACATTTTTTTTTTATTTTAGTTTTCAATTATATTTACCCCCTTGTCTCTCAGCATCTATCCTTCTGTGCTTTTTTTCAGCTGGCTAGATTACATTCCCAATATGCAGCCACCCAGCTTCTACCAGCAGTACCTGTACTGACTCCTAATCCAGGTATCTATAAATCTCTCTCTGTGGAATTCTTTCCTTCCCTTCAGTGTTCCTGTATTTACACCATCTCAGTTCTGCAACCAACTTTTTTGTAATTTCTTTTGTTTCTCTTTTCTTCTTTCGGATACATTTCAAAGTACGCTGTTTTTTCTTTTCTTTTTCAAGCAAAAACACTAGTTTCTCTTTTTTTTGTTCGCCAACAGCACTTAACAGGTTGTAAAGCAGCACAGGTATTGAAATCCGCTGTAGTAATAGTAGCACTAAATTTTTACCTTTTCCCGTTTGTCGTTCATTCTTTTTGTTTTTTTCTGTTTTCTGTTTCTTCTTTTTTTTTTTT